TTTTTTTCATGACATCAACATGCCAACATGCCAAAGAGCTGCTGGGTGACTAACAAGGTCATTATAAGCGAAGGTTTGGCCAGATTAAAGTACTTTACTCATAGACAGACCACAGAATACACACCACCGATCTCGTGACGTCGCCTTGACTTTGGTAATATGGTCACATTAAAATAATTCATAGAAAATGTGATTAATAATAACACATTTTACCAGTCAATTGAACTATGAAGCACACAAGCAACAGCCACTAGATGGCAAAAGGGCACTTTGAAATAACAGTCTGGGTTTCCTCTGCAAAAACTTTGACTCTCACTTTACTAGCATAGCCTACAAACTGTGGTCTTCCTGTCAACGACTCGTTCGTTGCTTACGTAAGTCACGGGGAAGGCAAAATGTTGCCACACAGGTGACTTCATCGAAGCAGGAGGATTTTCCAGATCTATTGTTTCTCTGTCATGCCCGACTCTGCCAGAGGCCTTGGTGTAACGGTAAGTCACGCCATGTCATCTTTGAAGTGTATTGTCTTCAGATGTACATAATTGGGGAGAATTGCTGATCCTGACTTTGATTTCAATAATGGAAAGCTCATTTCAACTGATTTTGCTATTTAGAATCAAAATTGTGACACCCCACTGTATAACAAGAGTATAATGGTTGTTACATACAACAGAGCCTGACATTAGCAGTGACTTGCTAACGTATATAGAAAATAATCTGAAGAATGGTTCACTATCATCATGCATAATTGCACCGTGCAGGTGGGCCTTATCTATCAAAGCTTGGCTGCACATTTTCATTTTAATGTGACACGTACACACCAGACACACATAAAGACACCACTGGCACACCTGCAACCGCACACGTCTTCTATGCTTTAAGTCTTTCATGGGTAGGAGCAAAGTACAATGGCGTGTAAGGGGAGCTGACATGTTTGACTGCTTTTCCTGCTGATATTTCTGACACACATGGAGCATGACGGGGAGCAGGATGTCAGGGCAAGATAAACTGTCACCAACTACTTTCAAAAACATCGTTTTCCCCACAGTAGCTTCAAATTCAGCCTTCAGTGTGACAGTGAATGCAACTGTGATTAGCTCACTGTGACACTTCAGTCAATAAATGCCACTAATTATGCCACCAACAATGTAAATGTGTGCATTATTTCCTGTGTTATCAACTGGTGTACAGCATCACTTGCTCTCCACCAATAGCGCACACATCATCCTTCACGTCACTTCAAATAATAGCAAGACAAAAATTCTATGATTTGCATGAACTGGCTCTTTGAATAGTTTATTCGGCTTCAATTTGATGTCCCATTATTTCCAATTAATTTGAACACAGCAACTGTCTGTGTGTTCGACCAACTGTGAAGAAGAAAGGATTAAAAACATCTCAGGGGAGAGAATACACACATGGTTTTTGAGTGTCAAACTCTCAATCTAAATACTGACTGATATCTATTCCATGACTGGAACAAAACCAGTTTGAGCCGAAAGCAAACCATTATGTCACACTATTTCCTGTACATTTACAATAATTTCTTCTGTAAAGAGCTTATCATGGTCACATTATGGACACATAAACATTACCAACTCAATCAAGTCATCAAACAGCAGCAAAAAAACGATTCATCACATTTACTGTAATTGCTTTCCCATCCCCCACAGCCCACGTGTTTATTTCCTATAGAAACATTGACCATGTCACTGGGCTTTCGCAAAATGTTTGCAGAAGCCTTCTCTTGTGGGAGGGTGATCACAATCTATGGTCTATTTATAGTCAGTCTCCGTAGCCGTGATTGAAGCACCTGTAAAATAGGCAATTTTACAGTCACTGCGCCTAATCACTCAGCTGTGGGTGGGAAATAACCTGCCCAGGCAAGCTGAGACCTGCCAGCCGGCTATGAGTGTACAGCGTTTATGTGAGCATGTGTGTGTATGTGTGTAAACCTGTTCATGTCATTGACTTCACAGACTAATTAATTTATGTAAAATTGTTGTATGGTTTCCACGTGAACTGACCACGGACTCTAATTCCATGTAGTTCTCTCTATACGACCATTCAAAAACAAATTTCCATAGAAGTACGTCTGCAACTGCAGTTCATTTGCATTTGACGACAGAAACTGCTTATTAAGGTTCACCCGTTGAGCAATGACAAGCACAGAGGCCCTGTGTGTGTACTTGTGTGTGCGTAAGTGCCAGCTTTTTCACACAACAGGGTTTTGCTTTATTAAAGTTAATTGCCCACTTACTCAAGCCTCTAGAGAAAACCCCCAAAAAGGTGAGAATGAAGAAATTACTCAAAGCCCTGCCCGCATGTGGGCACACTTTACAACCCTGTCACTCTTCCTGGGGTAGCAACAGAAAGGGCTGAGCCTTTAAATAAAATGTAGCAGCAAAAAACAACAGGTAGAAATGGAAGGCAGCAGACGAATGTGTTTGGACTTCAGATCGTGGGGAAAGAAAATGTCATTTTTAAATATGTAGCAAGCGTACTCGCACATTTCGCTATTGTTATTCTGACTGGTTTGAAAGGAACTGAACGTCAAGGGTTTTATACTAGAAAACATACTGACCTTAAATTCTTGCCATGTGCTGCCATGATTATTAAAAAAGGCCAATTATGTAAATAAAATCCATTCAAAGACTTTGTGCATCGTGACTACAGGATGAGACATGCACGGTAAACTGTTTTAACATTGCACAAGTGAAAAAGAAAACTGTGACATGCCCGCTGAAGCTGTACATCCTTAAACAGGGCAGCAGCCAATTACATGCAGGCAATGGAATGCATGGAGTTCAAAGGGATCACCCTGGTGGCACTTCTGTGTGAACAGTGTCACAGTTGATCAGGATCAGCACTTGGTATACTCAGTACAGAAACACCACCAAAAATACAGGAAACAGGGTTGGTTACCAGATCACACCAGATATCAAAAAGACTACGGTTGACAGTTGAATTTAGGTTATGATGTTTGGTGATGAAAATTTAATGTCAGGACAACCTCTGATGCCAATGTCAATTTGACATGGAATACTGACGACAGGTTGATACTTTGTTGGTTTTAAGTTATGAAGCTCTAGCGAAAGTTCAGTCAGGAAGACAATACTTTTCATGCTCAGGCTGTAAGTTTCTTTCTCACCCTGCTATTCACTTCTTGCACCTATTCTCACTCACTGTCTCCTGGTGTCATTGTCTGCATAGGTCAGTTGAGTCATCAGCTGATTCACAATCAACCAATAGCACGGCGACACACCTTCTCTGTCAGCCTTTCATCTCAAAGCTACTCTTTTTAAGTATGGCTCTTTCTCTGCCATAGTTCTTTCTTGCTGCCGCCATCCCCATCACCACCTAGTCTTTACTGATTCATCAGCCTCATACGCCTCATCAACCATCAGCCTCAGAGTCATCAGCCACCACCACCACCAGTGTCTGGACTCCATGGGAGGATTTATCCTGCTGCAACTCAGATGTCCCTCGATCAAAAAATATCTCCTCCTGGTGTCCAAGCGCTAAAGACGAATCTTAATCAACACAAATCATCTGTTAATCTGTACTCTAATATTCTGTGTTAGATATTATCTTTACTCCAATCATCTGTCTCTCCTGATTGAAGTATTATTAAGTAACCAAAATCCAGCGTCTTCCAAACGTCTCATGCCAACATCATCTTGATGCAGAATGACCAAAAAAAATCCAACGTCTGCAAAATGGCAAAATGTTTACATCCACACGACAATAAATTCTGATGTTGTTAGACATTTAAAATATCGTCAAACCCAATTTCATGCCAACCATAACCATAATTTTGTGTCTGACCAGTGTAAGACTCCAGCGTCTTTCTGACATCATATGTCAACATCCAATGCCAGCTGGGCTGCAACAATTCAAATGGAACTCTTGAGGTCACACTCTCAATGTGTGAAGTAGCCCTGTTCTCTTTTCAAAATTAGTGAATTACTTTATGGTTGTTTTCGTAATTCAGGTTAATGTTTAGGAGCAAAAAAATGTATTTGAAACACAACAATAACAACAGTGGATCATTCAAATGAACCACTTGAAGGCATCAAATGTGACGGCCACAGTGGGATGTTAACATTGTGATCAGCCAGCCATAGTGGCTAAGCTTGGCAATACCATGTCACAATTCAAGCTTTGCTCACTGTAGTGTGGTGAAGCTATGGTTGAATTAGCTTAAGAGAAAAGAACTTTATGTAAGAGGTGACTGACAGTCCTCTCCTGCAGGAGAAAATCCAGAAACGTAGTTTGGTTAACTAAAGCCTCTTAGAAAAAAGTAGATGAAACTACTGTGTAAAGAAATGATCGAATCTACAATGTGCATGTGATATGAACTTAAAAAATATGTAATACAAAAACAAGTCACGTCAGCACTACATTGAGTTTATTGCAAAAGTGCCCTCTTGTTCACAGGCCATGGGCCATAAACCAAAAAAATACAATAAATTAAAATAAAATAAAATAAAAAATAAATCAAATCAAATTAAATTAAATTAAATCAAACAAGATAGAATAAAAAATACCCCACTATTCATGGAAAAGTGTAAGAAATGTCAGCTTTGGTTTTGTACACACTGTCCATCGGTCGACACCTGCCTCAGAAACTAAAGTCCAGATGGGGGCATTGCACCAAGCAAGATTACTCTGTTAGCCAGGTAACATCTTAAATACTCTCTGGACATTTGTTAATGAATAAAAATAATCAATGCTTATGGGTTACTGTGTTCAAAAGGGGTTCAATTACAGTAAAGATGCAATGGTAAAATAAAAATAAAAAAATCATTGCTTTCCTTCATGACAAAAATTTGTTTGTAGTGTCAACAGTTAATCACAAAAAATGGCGAAAGGGTAATTTCTATACTTAAATCAATGGGCAACTGTGAATGCAGTTAATCTACCACAAAGCTGCTGCAAAATGTAGTAAAACGTCACAGTGAATAGGTGATAATAGTCAGCCGTTAATTAGCTCCTACCTGTTTGAGCTTCTTCAAGTCTTCATCCAACTCCAGATTGTCCAAGATGACAGCCACAAAAAGACTGAGCAAAATCTAAAATGTGACAGGAGGAAGTGCAAAAGAACATATGCTGCGTGTGAACACATTACAAATTATGTTAATGTCCTTACTCCCATTACCATAAAAATAAGTACAAAGTCTGCTTAGTAATCGCATTTGTTGCTTGTTCTCGTTCTGGAAGACGTCCTGTCTGTCTGGGGGTGAACTGTGAGTCATCCTGAGACTGTCTGTGCTGTCTGAATGCTCCCCATATCAGAAGGCCAAACACTGAAATGTCAGCACTTCTTACGCCTGCAAGTCTGATTAACTGTGATTAGATGTACCACTTGAGAGAACACTGAAGGGACGGGAGCACTAATTAAATGCATTAAGAAAACAATTCATGTATCCTTCTGCCACTTATTTTCCCCCAACCTGCTTTTAGTGACCAAAATAACAGAATATGAGTTTAAATAGAAAGCTGCAGTTAATATATAGCAAACTAAAACTTTAACCAAAACACTAAAACTCCAATTCAACAGTCTCTTCAACTTATGTGACTCCTTAATTTGAAACAGCACAGTGAGTTCCTCACCAGGGTAGCAAACAGATGGTAGAGGATGAAGTAAATGGCGACGACCGGAGCCCACATATGACCTACAGCCACGAGAGTCTGGTCCATGACATCTACCCAGCCCTCCTGGGTTAGGATCTGGAACATGGACATGAATGCCTACAGGGAGGAAAGCACACGATAGGAGAAAGTGAGAGACGCAAAAGGCTACAGAGGGCAACTGAGTACACGAGCAGAAGCGGTGGAGAGAAGAAAAGACAGACAGAAACGGGGAGGAAATAACACAGAGCAACGGACAGATCTGACATTTGGAACATGCTTTTTCACAGGAGAGCAAATATCACACAGCTGATGCACATATCCTCCTCTGACCATCACTCTCTAGCTAGTGATTGTGAGATTTAGAAACATATGGCAGAGAAAGAAGAGAGGAAATGAGGACAGACATTTATTTTTTACTTTGTCCTGCTGCCCCCTCATCTTTGAGGCAGAGGTCAGATAAGTGTGTAAGGAACAAACAGCTGCAACACTGTGCCCCCTGGTGTCAAATGGCACGCCTGCGCCTCCTCCTTAGCATCTCACCTCCAGACAGCATCCCCCCTCCCTCCCTCCTTCCCTCCCAGCCCCTCCCACCTGCTCCCACATCCCAGTCACTGCAGATGAAGATAAACCCCAGCAACAGGTCCGCCCGTAGGGGAGACAGCCAAACATCATTAACTATGATGTGTGCTTGTGTCTGTGTGTGCATACATGTGGGTGTGTGAGTCGCAAGCAGTACGAAAGCGACAAGAGAAAATGAGAGCGAGAAGGGTAACACAGCATACAAGTGGCATCTGTTTACGAGCAACCCCTCATGTCCCGCTGTGCCTGGGATCAGTGAAATGTTGGAAGAGAGAAAAAAAAAGAGAATGAGGATGGGAAGATGTGGCTAATGAGAGAGAAAGAAGCTCATGAGCACTTAGAAATCAAAGGAGGTACCACATCTGGCGACCCACTGCGCAACCCATCATCAACATCTGCAGGCCTCCCCGCTGCTTGTCTGAGTCGTCCCTCTGGAACTGCTCATATAAAATTCTAAATTTTTATGTAGTGCATTCATATATTAGCCTACCTGTACCTCCTGATTTAAAATACATTTCATGTTTCCCTGAGAGCAAATTATTTGTATACTAGGGCATATTAAGACTAAGTGTGTTTGAAGCGCTTGGGAATTTAGAGGTTTTACTAGTTTCGTGGGTGCTGGTGAAAACAATACTGTTCAAAATCAGGTGGCACTTATTAAATAATTGCTGATATTGCCTGAAATGCTGGTTTAATCAATTTTCCAATGACCTGCAATCTCAACTAAATTGACTTAAAATTACAAAAAATCCACTGTGAACCGACTGTGATCACACAGAAGGTAATTACAGTAAAGAGTTAAAGCTGGGGTAGGTAGTTTTATTTTGCCATCACTGGGCAAAAAAACCATAATAAAATTTGAGCATACTGTAATACAAGTGGTCCAAGAGAAAACTTGACTTCTGCACCTCCACTTGGCTCTGTTTTCAGGATTTAGAAAATCTAGCCTGTCAGAGAGAGGCCTTTCCAATTGGTTGTCCTGCAAATGCAGATGCACACATGTCCCTTCGAATAAAACCTGATTCAAAGGCGGAGAATCCTGCAGAGAAAGTTGCTTTTCCAGCATTGGCAGCAACTGCCAACACTCCAAAGCAACCCAAAAAAGGATGATGGACTTATCAAAAGAGGCTCCAAAAAAGAGTCTGACAATAAACAAAATAAACAAGTGTAAACATTGTTAAAGTGTTTCAGAGATGGAGAGAATATGTTGCTAATAGTTAGCCTTCTGCTAACTGGAGCCAAAGGCTTATGGCTGCAGCTTCAAGTTCTTGTTTATCTAGCTAACGTTAGAGCCTCAAATCACAGTGTGTCCTCCGCCTCACTCCCCGCCGCTACACATCACCTTGCTGGGAGGAAAGTGGTAAGCAACTTCAGAGACAGACCCCCAGTTAGCAGGTGCAGCAAGCCAAATCCAGCCAGCGCAAACCCCATCTCTGGGACATCGAGCAGCCCCAACTCCCCCCAAGATCATCAAACTTTCTGTTGCTGCCTAAACACAGGTTAGATCTGGCACTGCCGCTGGCCACCAGCCCCTTGTGACGCACTAGGGGGTTTGTGCTGGCCAAAGTTGAGCCATTACAACCACCAACTAAAGATCTGTGACTCCGGAGCTGCTGCCTGCTCCCCAACCAGCCAAGCACTCCACAGTGATGGAATGAAGCGGAGGGACAGTGAGGGGGCTAGCTAACTGATTCTTCTGTCATTCTGGTCTGATAACAGAGAGCTAGAGAGTAGGGCAAGGAGTGAGTAAATATGCTGCTTACAATGAAACACTGTTAAATAAATCAATGTATGGGAAACACTTAGTTACTGTATGAAGCACATGCATATGCCCATGGTCCTCTGCATGGAGGGGCTTAGGACAGAGAGCTGCAGGAAGAGGGTGTATTTTCAAATTGGGGCTATTTTTTTTTTTTTTTTTTGCCATCAAGCTTCATAAAAGTTACCCTGATGGAAAACAGAATTTATTTACACTTCTGATGACTGATTTCCATAAAAATCTGCTCAATAAATCAACTGTTTGTCCTTCAGTATGTGACTCAGGGTGACTTTTTAAAAACACATGATTCATTTTTACACAGTTTACCCAAAAGAACACAAAAATCTATCTGAAAAAAGCTGAAGACATGATCACATCCACAGAAGCGTTCTCTCAATACAACACTTTGTATGCAGATTGTCCTCTTGGTGAAAGGTTAAGTGTGAGTGGCTCCTTACCCTGGGGAATGTGGTGAATCGGTCCAGCTCCTCCACAAAGCAGAACATCTGCAGACTGATGGCCGACATGACGATGAGGAGGCTGGCTGTGAACACCACCAGGCTGCCTAGTTTTTTACCTGGACCAAAAATCTTGTACACAAAGTCTTCCAGAGCTGGGGAAATCTTAATCAAACGCACCACACGTAGCACCTGAGGGGAGGAAACACATGCATATCTACTGTAAGATTACTGTTTGTGTAACCATTATTTAATAGTAGTTTATAATCCACACCAAAGGAAAAGAGAGGGGGTACATTAAAGATACTATAGCCATAAAAGAAAACATAGTGGCACATTGATTACAAAATGATTTAAAAAAAAAACAAAGCATTGATTTTGACCCAGTGCTAAAGGTGCACTGACACCCCGCTCTGTCAACAGGGTTAGTCCCTAAATTGCTTGTGGTGACAACAACCCCCAAAAGGTAATGCATATTGGTCAGGCTTTGATCGGGAATCCAGAGAGTGGCTATCGATCGAGCCCGGCACCGCTGCCCCTGGCCAAATATTCTTCCTTAGTATCTTGCTCTGAGCCAAATGAATGGCTAGCTCCCATTCCCTGGATACATGGGAAAATAAAGGAGACAAACAGGGGCTGCCGGTCTAAGACCTGGGACCTACAGTAAACAAATACAGTAATAACACTCACAGCATGATGACAGATGGGATGGGAAGACACACTATACCTTCTACTCCTGACAGACCATGATGACCACTATCCATTTTACAACAGATGCAAGCTCTGGGGCTGATGGCAAACCCTAAGAGGGTAGGGCCACAGAGTGTATAAGGATATAACAGCAAAACTGGTTCTTTGCTTATCTTTTTGTCCAAGGCCTGTGGGAATCTGAAATGGCATCCCAGAATGAGAATGCCGTTAACTACAGCCTCAATAACAACCAACAGTAGTTAGTACTGAGCAAAATAAAATTGTGATTTAACCACTGCAGCACCATCATATAAGCATGGCTGTGATTATGTACCACCCTGGCTATCAATACACAGCTTGGGCTGAATCAGTGTATTACTGGGGTATTTGGTAATCCTGAAGGTATGATTTTCAACACTGTCAAAAATACAGATGCTCCTCTTTCTATTAAACTGATACGGACATGCTGTATTCAGGTGATGCAATGTACAGCATGCGCCACCAGAGGTCAGTCTCTATTGGTGGAACACGTAGCTGAGCTGACAGAAATGGGGAGTGTGGTGGGGATAACGTTACAGGACTATTAAAAAGGAAACTTGCCCCTGTTTGGGAGTATTACCACATATAACTTTATCTTGAGATTAATTCTTCCAGCTACACCAGTAGATAATTAGCCACTAGGGGTGGGCGATATGGCCCTAAAATAATATCATGATATTTCAGAGTATTTTTTCGATGACAATATTCTTGACAATGACAAATTAGTAAAAAAAAAAAATACATTTTCTAGTTAATTTAAGAACATAAAATTGCAACAAAATAAGTGATATTGTTTTAAAAGTCAACCTAGAGAATGAGTTTCAGATTCTGTATACAATATTAACAGTTCAACAAAATATATAAACAGAACTATAGAACATTCACATTTATGTAATTTTTGTTGTGGAGCTGCGAGCGTCACGTTTGTGTACATTACCAGGCGTTCATGACAAAATGACTTGAAGTCACTGACTACCATGTGCACAGCGAGAGAGGAGAGGGAGAGATGCTGTGCTGCTGCCAGAGAAGCCGCTGAATGAGTTCCCTCTGAGTCACTAAGAGAGTCTGAGAAGTCCGGGGCTGTTCATAAAACATTCAGGACGCCACAGTTTATTCCACACTACTGAAGCTGCTCCTCTTTTTGGAACCACCGCGGGGTCGTTAATAATTTTGCTATCAGTCATGCTTGTTGTTGCCGTGGGTAACAGTATGATGTCAATATGTCAACAAGTTGAAATATCGCCAGTATCACGATATGAATTTTTCATCTAATATAAAAAAATATACCGGTATTATCATGAATGTGATGATATGGCACACCCCTGTTAGCCACCTGATTTTATTCCACACATCAGTGTTCAGCCCACTGATGTTCATCAGGTCCTCCAGCACGAGCGGTGCTTTTTCCTCTCTATTCATTATTCTGTGGGCCATAAGTATTTGAACCCAGTAAGAGCTGTCTAAATGGGCTTAGTGCATATTAGAAACACAGCGTTGTAGGCTGGACAATGTCCAGCAGCTCAGCTTTTACATTTTTTTAAAACACAAATACATTCATATACCATGCCCCCCGATGAAATGTGATGATGGTATGAAGACATTAAGAAACAGAAATGGTCCAAGCCTACTCAAAATAATTTCCTCTGACATAATACAAAGTTAAGGACTTTGAGTATCAGCAAATACAGAGTACTGATCTGATATATGATATATGTTTTAACTGTATAACTACTCTGCTTCACACAAGTTTATGTGTGATCATTCTTTTCCACATAATAGGAAAACAGATGAACAACAAAAATACACCAGACTTCATGTACTTTTTTACTTGTGATCTCTTTGTCATTTACATATCGGTAATCTAAGCCGTAAACATGACTGTTCCCAGAGAAAAACATATCTCGACTACTCATGCAGACATGAAATGAGCAATAAACAATCTTGACTGTAATCACTTTGATGTGCGAAACAAATTACTTTCACGAGGGGTTACCCCAACCACAGTTCAGGCTGGGAGCCAGATCTGGAGGAGGAAACACGATAAATAACAGGATATTGTTGCATGGCATCAAACCTTTTTTTTCCCCCCACAAAGGGTATTGTGCGCCTGCTACCAATGGTTAACTATAAATGACACTCAGAGAATGGCTCTCCAGCTGTGTCTCCTGTGTGTGCTTCTGGCTCCAGCCTCTTGCAAGACAAAGCAATGCTTAACATAAAATTGAATTGCATAATGTGTCACATTGTCGCCGTCACAGATGTCCCATCCAGAATTTTAAACCCGTATTGGCCCAATACCAATAACCAGAATAGGATCAGTGCATCCCGACCAGAAATGTCCAAAATTATACAATGCCCTGCCATTCTGAGTGAATGCATTGACTGGTCTGTTAAATCGTGCAGCTACTGAAGTCATTGCAATTCTGAACACACAGAGAGGAAGTGTCGAGGTGGGTTCCATTGGCTGATTAAAAATCATTCTGCCAAGTGTATTGTGCGCGTGTATGCGAGCGTGTGTGTTAAGGCTGTAAGTAGGGCTCTAAAGCACGTGACATTTGGGCCAGACTGAAAGACAATTGGTAAGGCTAACCTTTCGCAACAGAACGTTGGTTGGATAGAAATAAATAAAAATGTGAAACAATCATTGATTGTGTAGCCTCGTCCCTCCTCCTGTAGCCAGCACACGCTTTGGATTCCCTCACAGAGCCTTAAGGTTAATTACTTGTGACTAAATGTCACCTGTTTAAGCTGGGACCAACTTGGGAAAATATCAGCAGGGAAAGTGAAGGAGAAGTGCCTTCCCATGAGTCAGGAGTGAGGAGTGAAGAAGGCACTTAACTCCCAATTGCTCTTTAAAAATTACTCATTCGTTGGAGTGTAAGAAAATATTGATGCACTTGGGTATTTCAATATTATGTTTCGAGGTACTGTATTGTTTCACACTATTGTTTTTTTAAGTAATAGTTAACATGCAAAGATTTGTGGCAGTCATTCATTTTGTCTTGTGTTAAACAACGTAACTACAATTCAAAGAACAAAGAACACAAGCCTATGAAACAGGCAGTCATATAAGCCCCGTTTCCACCAAACACTTTCGGTATGGTACCTTTGCAACCAAAATTAACCCTTCAGACATGGTACCTAGACCCTAGCGTTTCCACTGCAAACAGCACTCTTAAATGTGGGCGGGGTTGTTGTCACTCACTGCTCCATCCAGCACTCACTGTATTTCCTCATTCATCAGTCTGCACATTTTCAGAACAAAATAAAACAGGCTGGAGTGACAGTTTCTTTTGATGGGATATTTAAAAATACTGAGTTTGTGCATTTAGTCCCATTAAGGCAAGGCATATACAGTATGCTGTGTTCACATAACCTGGTCAAAATCAATATATATTTTAACGCTTGAAGATCCACTCATTACTAAAAGTGTATGTCATCCAAGAGAGACAATAAAAACTAAAGTAAAAATTAAAGATGGTCATAGTACCAGATCTGTGTGCTAGGTACCGTAACAGAGGGGTGACCAAAATGGGGACGGTGCGGAACGGTTCCATTGGTACCATCCACAACTTTTCACAGTGGAAACCGAAAAAAAAGCGTACTGCACTGAACTGGTGGAAACGGGGCTATAGTGTGCTCCGCTACCATTGACAACTTAACGACTAACAATACACAATTTAGAATTTAGAAAAACTTGTATTACCCATGCATGTTGTTAGGCGATGCTCTGAGCTTGTTTCCTGTTTGTATTTGTTAGAACACATTTAAAGCCAAAGGTGATCATCATTTTTTGGCACTAACACCTCATCTGTTGATACTTCGTACGGATGTATTACTTGTGTGCAGAATGCAATACAATCACAGTACCTTTCTTTTATTTTGTAAAAATGAAAGTAAAAAAAATAAATGTTTTTTTTTTTCCAGAAAACTACTATTTTAGATGTAAGGAGTTGTCAAACATCCATGTTTGCTTATTGTGTGTTGGGCGCATAATAAATCACTTTTTTTCAACATTAAAAGTTTTCTTATAACACAGCATTAGCGTGGATCTGAGCCATGAATGGTTTTCATTATGAAATCACAATTTTAAAAAAGTGCAACTTGCAAACTGCAAGATCTGCATAAGTGTTATCAACAAGGGTTAAGAGGTAAAATATTGCCCTGGTAGATTTGACATGTAGACCACAACACAGCCCAAATGTGTAATTTATGGAAAATATTTCCACTTTAATACTTTAATTTATTGGTTGTAAATTGCCATGCCATTTTTGTCTCAAAGCCCTATATAGATCATGAAAGCAATGCTGTTCAGCAACTAATTGTGAGGTTAGGATAATGGAATCTGTTGCCAATACATGAAAGCACCATAATTCAGAAATACATAAACTTTGCAAGACTGCATTAGCATGCAAAAACATGGTAACTTAAAGAAAAAAACAGATGTGGGCCTTTTTGCAGAGATGAATTGCCAACCTAAAGTAAGTCTCAAGTCCTTGCAAGTTGATTTTTATCTTGTACTGAAATGATTGCCTGGAAGGACAGTAACTTTGGTAATGTGCAGCAGTAGTATCCAGAATATGTTGTTGCCAGTCAACAATCATTTTTAATGGATCACAGCTACAGTATATATGTTTGCCTGTGTTTGCTTGAGTGGTGGTGGAGATAGCAGCTGTTGAGAGAGTCAGACAGGATCAGGGCAGCTTGTTTGGTCAAGGCTCATTAAAGACCCATCGAGAAGCCCTTCCCCATCAGATCCTCCGCAGAGCTTTTCAGCGGCTACATTACAGTACACGACCTACAGCAAGGTCGCGGGGTTACCTTTTGAGTGCAATACTTAAAGTCTCTGGATGGATGATAATGCTAGGCAACAGTGCCAAATGGGTCATAATATACACAGGTGATTTATATTGCTGCCTTGAGAACTAGAAAAACTGGGGAGTTAAAGGACTGGATAAGTGTGTCAAATTACACACAAGCAAATGAACAGGCAAATACAGAATTTATGGAGAAAATATCGCAGACAACCACTACTATATACATCTCCACTGAGGCCAAAGGCATCACACATTATTGCTTCCACCTACATAATTATCAGGACTTTCCCAGCTCTGCGCCTCACATACAATAATTAATGACTCAGGCTGAGTTTTATGCTAAATATCATCAAATAAAACCATCAACAAACAACTCCTTTCATTGAATACGTCAGATGTCCCACAAAATATGTCATGACTGAAAAATGCTAACTCAGAAATCCCTTTAACCTGATCTCTGTTGGACATTTTGGTGACAGTACATTAAAAGCATTTTGAATGAATCGGCAGAAGTTTCAATGCCGAAGAGTGATATGATTGATTCGTACTCATTAATGCATTGTCACAGGAAAGAAATGTCACTGAATGATTCACAGCTCATGTTCTTCACTGTAATTTAACTCAAGTGTGGATGATTTAGGCTCAAATTTAAGATATAAATGGATTCAGGTATGTTTGTATAGGCTGTAAAACTGTAAAAATATGTGCATACCTGAAAGTAGGTGAACTGAGAGTGGTAGAGGTCGGGGTAGATGTGCAGCGTGGTGCCCACCACCAACAGAGATTCAAACTTGTGCAGGGAGGAGCTGATGTAGCCGGTGAAGCCCAGACACCAGATCTTCAGAAGAGCTTCCAGGTCAAATAACACAGTAAAGGCAACCTAGGATGGCATGGAGACAACAGCAATCAGTGTTGGCATTTACTCCCTGCTAACACTAATCTCTCTCAACAGAAAGCAATTCTACACCAGTTAATATATGCTTCAGTGTAAAGAATAATACTGTGCAATTTGTGTGTGTGTGTCAGTGATGAGGGTTAACAGCTGTGCATTAGAGTAATAATCTCAAAGATTGTCATTTAAGTAAATGTCTGTTAAATAACTATGGCCGAATGAGATAACACTACTGTACAAAACTGAGCCTACATGGCCCACAGATAAAGCCCCTTGTATTTGCAGTCTGTGTAACATTCACGGAAAAAAATCACAAGCAGTGCACAGTTAGTGATGTATTTTCTATCAGCCGGCAGTAGTTGGTCATTATGACAGCTTTGCCCAGGTGCCAACTGCCAACTAACTGACATCACACAGGTGACACTGTTCTGAAGTCTGGGAAGTGAGATGCAGCTATCATTTATCCCCATGGGTGCTGCCAAAGAGAACCAAGAGGAGGAGATCTTGGAGGTTGCTGAAGTAATTAAAAATATAAAAAACAAACATCCAGTCAGTTACTAAACTTACCTGTTAGTTCAATTTTGGGGTGCTTGAGTTTTATCTAAATATTTCCAATTTCTGCTTCTTTACAGCCGCACACACCGGCAGCATGACGAATAAACAACATAAAAATGCAAAACACCCACCTACGCTAGCAGCAATTGTGAATTTGCATCACCTTAAATTTGGGATATTGTAATATCATTAAGTGCTGTCTTTTCCTGGTTTTAAAGGCTGCATTACAGTGAAGTCATGTCATTTTCTGGACTTACCAGACTGTTCTATTTATTCATTAATTTTCCATAACCACCTATCCTGTTAGGGGTCACACGGTTGCTGAAGCCTATCCCAGCTGACATTGGGTGAGAGGCGGGGTTCACCCTGGACAGGTCACCAGACTATCACAGGGCTGACACATAGAGACAGACAACCATTCACACTCACATTCACATGTACGGACAATTTAGAGTCACCAGTTAACCTGCATGTCTTTGGACTGCGGGAAGAAGCTGGAGCACCTGTAGAAAACCCACGCTGACACGAGGAGAGCATGCAAAGTCTGCACAGAGGGTGTCCTCCACACCGAGGTTTGATCCAGGAACCCTCTTGCTGTGAGGCAACAATTCTAACCACCGCACCACCGTGCTGCCTACTACTTACTGATGATTATCAAATGTTGTTGTGTAAATGTTTACAATATAGTCACAATATGAATATCAAAGTATTTGGTCAAAAATATTGTGATCTCTGATTTTCTCCATATCGCCCAGTCCTTGTTGATGTGCCATTAATCGCACAAAAATCCCTCCCCTGGGGTGTAAAGGCCTTTATTCTTTAACTGTACTACTAACTACTACATTTATTTGACAGCAATTATTAACTGTCAACATACAGATATGATTTGACATATAAAACCTGTTTAATTTATAAAATGGTGCCTCGTTACAGATTTATCTACCAAATAGTATAAACTCCCTTAGCCTCCTCAAGCTACACTAAAATGTAGTTTACACATTAATAAGGGGTGTCTGAAGACTTTAGGAAGCTGCTCCTGCATTTATGGGAAATGTAGGAGCTTGTGTTTTTGGATATTGACCAACAGTAGATTAAACATCAGAATCTTGTTCTCTGCTGCATTGATTCTGACCACTCTGTTTTAAATCTGTCTCTTGCTTTCCACCCCAACTTTATGTGCAATGCTAAACCCTTGGAGGACTCCTTAAAGTAAAGGATCTGAATGCTTTGACCGCCACTGTCTTTAGCAGGGGGAAATATGGTAAGAATAAAGTTGGCACCTCACCAATAAAACATGTATTTCTCCATTTAACTCTAAACCCAGTGCCTCCGTTTCCTATTTTCCCTTCACAGCCTTCACACAGATTGGAACAAATCTGCAGATCGATGGCTGTATGATATGGTTGGAGGGAGTGAGAGAAGGTAATATTGTGTCTAGTCCCCCCCCCCCCCCCCTTCTTATCTCCTCCATTCAGCTGTGTGCGAGAGAGAAAGGTATGAAGGGGACGGGGGAGGTGGGCACACTCCTCACCGTCTTTGTCTTTACCACCTGCATACTGATGACATCAAGTCAACCTGCATGACACATACAGTACAGTGTCATGGGCGTGTGTGTATATACTTTAAAATTAACTACATTTAAAATAAAAACAGAAAAATATACAAATACAAATAAATATTTACAGCTGATCAATTAATTTATACAGGTGAGATGTTAAGAGATGATTATTCCCATTATTGAGCTTAATAAATATACAGATGTATGGATTATAAAGTGGCTGATATCCTAAAATCCCCAGCTGCATCATGCATTATGTGAGTGGACGGGGTAGTATCATGAGGCATCCAGATTATGCAGGATTAAATCCCTATTAATAACAGACGGTGACATTACCATGGAGGGCATTTCCAAATAAAGAGAAAAACCCACGTCTGTGTCATCTAACAGGCTTTTACCAAAAGATGATCTCATAGCTTTAATAAAGGCCTTGGTCAAATCTTTTGTGTTCATGTCAAAATCCAGGGTTTGAGGTTCATATTTTGGAGAAAAAGCAGGAAATGAGAAAAACAACAATAACAAAAACTAAAAAAAAAAAAAAAACATCTCACCTCTGCCAGGTAAAACTCATCATAGTGTCTGCGGTAGTTCTCGCCTTTATAATAGTTGCTAGCGGCAACAATGACGTCCACAGCGACCATGCTCAAGATGAACATGTGGAACACAGAGGACCGCATCAGTTGCTGTGGAAACAGAGCAGTGTTCAATTACAATCAATGTAAATTGCACAAAACAGGCAAAGATTTTTTTTTCCCCCCACTGAACTCAATCAAGTTCAAGTTTGAATGTAAGCCATAAAAGTACTGTCTGAGATACATCATTTCCTGTCTGTTTTTCCCTCAGTATAAATCTGATCTCCCCATACTATACAATACGTAAGAAATTAAAGCTGAGCACAGACTTTAAGACACATAACGGACAGTCAGATGTTTAAAGACAGTTCCATCTTTTTCAATGTGACAACTATAGACTATACTATATATCAAGAGGTGAAAACAGGCAAAGAGGGCCAGCAGCTAAACAGCAGTAAATTCAAAGCAATCAGCAGCCTTTCATTGGTTGCTGGGAGAAACATCCACCCAGACAGCAGAATCAGCGTGCATTCAGACAGCTGGAAACAAGAAAGGCAAGGGGCAATAAACATATGTTATTTCCTGTGGGAACAGCAGCGCCATCGAACGCAACATCACATAATAGAAACAATCAGGACATAAAAGAATGCAATGGAAATTCCCCCCCCCCTCCCCTCCCAAATAAATAAGTCGGACAAAGCACGCACTCCTCGTTTCGACAAACACTGTAACTGTGCGTTCCTTCAGAGACAATATGACAGATGTGATCGCAGCCTTGAACTGCATGTATGTGGTGTAATGAACAGCTTGTGAGTGGGTAGAATAGCTCACCCTAAAAAAAGACTTGCATGTGAGACTGGTAATAGGAAAGACTGAAGAAGTGAAGAAAAAAAATGAGAGGAAGACTTTAAGACAGATGAAGAGTTTTTGCAGCATTGCTGGAAAGATCAAACTCGCCCCAGGAAAACGGGACCACTGCCATGCGCCCTCCTACACACAGATTACAGTACAAACTCTTTAAACTCGAGAAAGCCTGATCTGCAATTGGTGCTTTGAAAACAAGTGATGATGATGATAGAATTATTAGATAAATGTATCTGATGGGACTTTGAACTTGTGGGTAAATGACATATTGCTGTTTTAAGGAACACGAATAAGAGCAAAAATGGGAAAAGGGCTTTCAGTGACACACAGGGGGCCCAGAGATTTAGAGAGCAAGTCCTCACCAGAAAAACAGCAGAATTCAAACAGATAAAATTACTGTTTTTGCATTTACCTGACAAGGATGTCCTGTGACCATTAAAAATTATGCCTGACCAGGGTAGAGCAAGTAGAATGACTTTTATAGCACTGCAAATCTCATGGGGAGGAGGTTGGTGTGAACGCTTGGGTCAACAAAGAGTGTGATTCTGATATCTAAGACCAGTGGGGGCATCCCATCTCCTACCTGTCCACCTTCATTTCTTTTAACCCTGTCCACCATCTTTCCTAACCTCAACAAAGTCAATTAAGCTGCCTAACTGAACCTCAACCATAGGAGTGGCAGATCAGGAAACGTTTTGTGACGGCCAGTAGACGGAATAAACGAAGAGGACGTAGCCAACGCAACGTCACCCTTTGATTTGTAATTGACTTGTCAACCACAAGGTAGCCACGCCCTAAATCACATCCTGCTTTATTATCTATTTTATTTAAAATGAGTGTAACCATAATTTACAAAATGAACATCATGCTGCTTTGAAGACGACTTGAAACAAGCCTTTAAAACAATAAAGGTAATAAATCAAGGGAGAAGAAGAGTCATTTTCTGATAGACCTGTATGCAGTCGGACTTCTTTTCCCAGCCAGTAGAGTTGGTCCCTGCTGGCCATTTGAAAGAGTGCAGTTGGTCCTTCGTAAATGTTTTGGAAGGCACTGTCAAACAATGTCATCTTGCCAACAGGGGCACCAGATATGAAAACACTTATTAGGATTATTTTGGAGGGTAATGCCAATCAACCTGTTTTGTGGTTAAGATTTAAGGACTTGTTTGTGTAAGACCTTGAAAGAAAGTACCTTGTTAAAGTGAGTTCTCAGTCACTTCTTTAAAGAGCTTTTTGATGGTAAAGGTTCCTTGGTGTTAACATAATGGATGTATGACGAGAACTGGATACAGTGTTGGAGGCGGGGTCAGACTCATTTCTTTAAAAGCTGCTTAGTGGGGCATGAAGCCAAAAAAGCGGTATGAAAATACCTGGATCTTCCGCATCCTGGCACCCATAGAGTAAGAGCACTACAGACTGCACAGGCCGAGTGGCTAACTTCCAATTTAGCCCTCCACTAACTTGAATGGGGATAAAAATTATTCAACTGTGCCACTATTCAAGACTTTAGAAATGCTATCAAAAAATGTATCCCCTGATTTACAGATGCCTCTTTCATGGTGAAAGTCTATGGGAAAAAGTCTGTTTAGGCCCAATGGCATTGTGTGACAGATCTTCCATGTGTGGCCACTATGTACAATTGGCTTCAAAGCCTGGTGCTGTTCCTGTGGGCTTTGTTAACATTAGATTTACAGCAGGTTTTGGTCAAGGTTAAAATTAGGGTTCTTCTTTCATTCATCCACCCATCCATTTTCATCCGCTTATCTGAGGCCAAGTCACAAGGGCAGCAGGCCAAGCAAAGCACCCCTGACATCCCTCTCCCCTGCAACACTTTCCAGCTCCTACAGGGTGACACCAAGGTGTTCCCAGGCCAGATGGGATATGCAATCCCTCCAGCATGTTCTGGGTCTGCCCCGGGGCCTCCTACCAGTGGGACATGCCCGGAAAGCCTCTACCGAGAGGCACCCAGGAGGCATCCTGATCAGATGCCCAAACCACCTCAACTGACCCCTTTTCGACCTGAAGGAGCAGCGGCTCTACTCCAAGCTCCCTCCGGATGTCATGAGCTCTGGGTAGTGACCGAAACAATGAGATTGTGAAAACAAGCAGCCAAAATGAGTTTACTCCGTGGGGTGGTTGGGCTCAGCCTTAAAGATAGGGTCCTCCTTTAATTAATTAAATTCTGGGAAAAGCACTGTTTTACTACCCTCTCCGGTTAAAAGTTAATGGTCTGTTTCACTTCTTTACACCCATCTTGTGGTATGTGGTTATATGTGGTCAGTAGTGTGCTGTGTTGGACCTGTAATCACACCCAATAGTGATGTCATGGTGCACTGAAATACCCTGCAGTAAACACCTACACTACTTCAGGAAGGTGAGAAGTTAAACCACTGGAAGTTAGCAAAAACAAGATTTAGTTGCTATTTAAGATAATGCAATCAACAATACAACAGTCGTATACACAGCTGTGAAACTTATAGGCTGGCCAAATCTGTAACATTTTTCTACAATCGCTTCTAAACACCCAGAAAGATTTTTTTGTCTATTAACTTTGTCTGACAATTGTAATTTTTGCTCTTGTCTTGTCTCATTATCTTAGATCATTAGCTTGTTACTGAACACAAAATTCCAGAAAAAGTTTAGCTTCAAATGTGATTTCTTGCCATTCTTTTAACTCGACTGATAGCCCGGACCAACAGAGCCGCTAGCCTTTGGTTTGACTGTTTCTGCAGAACATGCACACATGCTCACTCTACACACAGAGTGGTTAGGCTCCCTGACTGAGATTGGACGTGACAAAGCAGTTTGACATTTCCAGCAACCAGACGCTCTCCCCCATGGGTGTTTTGGCTGAACGGAGTTGTGTGTGTGTGTGATAGCGTGTGTATGTGTGTGTGAGGGAGGGAGCGGGAGAGATAGAGGCAAACTGACAGAGAACAGAAAGTACATGCTTGCGCGTATGAAACGGTTGATTTTCTCAAGGTCTTGACTTTGCCCATACTCTCTGTCAGCTTTTGGGAATCACACTGCTAAGAAAAGCTGGAGAGCGAGCTGGAGAGCAGTGTGCATTTGTAACCTCTGTTATGGGGAGATACAGTCAGCCCATCCAGCCCTGCCACAAAATCACCTTTTAATCTTTCCCTCACATCCCCCTCCTTTTTTCCACTCCAAATTGGCTGAAGATGTTGGTGCACTCCACCAGATAACACCCTCCATGTCGTTCCCAAGGCAAAATGGCCTAGTTCGCCCAATGCAGCTGATGGCACTGGCACTCCATATACGGCCTCAAGATGTCAGAATCAATTTAACAGCATCAATTGTGGGACAAGATGGCTCTCCCCTGCTGTTTGATGTTTCTTAGCTTGTGTGTCTCTGAAATCCTTTCACACGTGTTTGATGGATGCTATTTATTTGTGATGCCTCTGGCTGGGTCTTTGAAACACCAGGTGCTCACCGTGCACGGTCACAAGCACGCACGCACACATGCACAGACATGGTGAAGTCGAGTTTTGAAAGCAGAAGCCACACATTAAGTTGAAGTTTTGGCATTTAGCAAGGAAACACATCATTCTGTCTGATAGCAAAGCAAAGCTTAATTCATGACAGAGTGCATTCTGCAAAAATACAGCATGTACTCAGCTTATTTGCTTGACTGCAACAGAGTGTACATGATAGAAATTATGTATGCAAATAGTGTTGTAGATAAAAAGACATCATTTCAAGTGGCATGTAAATTGGTATTTGGGGAAACAGTGCACGCTGGGTGTGCTTTCCCGCAGTAAAAAATGAAAAACAACATTAAAAATGAGAAGAAATAAACACCACACATTTCTTTTTTCATCAAGCCTTCTGGCTCCTTGTCTGGGTACTTGTGTTTTTATCACCCAATTTATGCCCAGTCAATTTAAACAGTGCAGCAAAGCCTCGCTGTCTAAAGGCTGCCTGGTCAGTGTGACATAAACTGCAATCTCACACAAAAGGTGAGACAACATTTCAGCTGCGCTCATAAGAGGTGTGCCAACATGATCCGCTGTCAATACGCATAGCAATCACCTGGAGGAGGTGGGGTACATATGCATGATACCTGGAGCCTGTCCAGTGGCTGCAACTGTAACCCAACTGCGACAGAGAGGCAGACTGATAGACCAAGGACTGCTTCCTCGTGCTCCGTCTGTTCACTCAGACTGCCAAGGAGGACAAATGCTCTTTCCACTGGTACATGAGACGAGTGTAGCACATGTGCACATA